GACGGAGGACAGCGGAGTATTGCATCATGGTTTTGTTCTAGCCTGGCCAGCGGAGGAATTATTCCCCTGGAATAAACTTATACTATTTTTAATGTTCCGGAGGAGGACCCGGCGCTCTTGGAGTGCAGGAGTCTAAGGGGGAGAGGGGGTTTTCTGCTGTCTTCTTGTCTTATGTTGTGAGTGCGACGAACTTTCGGCCTGGCGCAGCATGCGTTCGGGGAGCACTGGTCTTGCCCAAACTTCAAAAAGGTGGCATCTTTTTGAAGCAAACTCTGGCCACCAAAACCCATGCTGCGCCGGGCCGATAGTTCGACCCACCAACATCTTGGGGTTCTTACACCCATACCCCGCCCTCTTCCCCATAGACTCCTGACACAATGGGGCTGGGGGCCTCCTCCGGAGCTACTATAGTACTATATTTTTAAAACGGGGTATTAATTTCTCCGCTAGCAGGCGTAGGGAAAACGCTACTTTTCGGCACTCCGCTACTCCGCGGGAGCCTTCACTGTCTGCATGCCATCCAACATGTGCCGTGGGTCGAAACTTTCGGCCCGGGGGTGCCTTCCGTAAGCACTTTTTGAAGCAGACTCTGGCCACCAAAACGCATCCATAAGCACTTTTTTCAAGCAGACTCTGGCCACCAAAACGCATGCTGCTGTCAGTAAGCACTTTTGAAGCAGACTCTGGCGACCAAAACGCATGCTGCCTTCTGGAAGCACTTTTTGAAGCAGACTCTAGCCACAAAAACGCATGCTCTGCGCGATGCTGACGCCGGCCAGGTCCTGGACGCTAGATTTTTTAGTGGAAATGGCCTTGTGAGGAGCATGACCAGGAATAAAATTTCGTCGCTCTTGACAAGACTCGACAAAGTTGATGGAGGACAGCGGAGTATTGCATCATGGTTTTGTTCTAGCCTGGCCAGCGGAGGAATTAATCCCTTGGAATAAATTTATACTATTTTTAATGTTCCGGAGGAGGACCCGGCGCTCTTGGAGTGCAGGAGTCTAAGGGGGAGAGGGGGTTTTCTGCTGTCTTCTTGTCTTATCTTATGAGTGCGACGAACTTTCGGCCTGGCGCAGCATGCGTTCGGGGAGCACTGGTCTTGCCCAAACTTCAAAAAGGTGGGGTCTTTTTGAAGCAAACTCTGGCCACCAAAACGCATGCTGCGCCGGGCCGATAGTTCGACCCACCAACATCTTGGGGGCTGAGGGCCTCCTCCGGAGCTACTATAGTACTATATTTTCAAAACGGGGTATTAATTTCTCTGCTAGCAGGCGTAGGGAAAACGCTACTTTTCGGCACTCCGCTACTCCGCGGGAGCCTTCACTGTCTGCATGCCATCCAACATGTGCCGTGGGTCGAAACTTTCAGCCCGGGGGTGCCTTCCGTCAGCACTTTTTGAAGCAGACTCTGGCCACCAAAATGCATCCGTAAGCACTTTTTTCAAGCAGACTCTGGCCACCAAAATGCATGCTGCTGTCAGTAAGCACTTTTGAAGCAGACTCTGGCGACCAAAACGCATGCTGCCTTCTGGAAGCACTTTTTGAAGCAGACTCTAGCCACAAAAACGCATGCTCTGCGCGATGCTGACGCCGGCCAGGTCCTGGACGCTAACGGCCTTGTGAGGAGCATGACCAGGAATAAAATTTCGTCGTTCTTGACCAGACTCGACAAAGTTGACGGAGGACAGCGGAGTATTGTATCATGGTTTTGTTCTAGCCTGGCCAGCGGAGGAATTAATCCCCTGGAATAAACTTATACTATTTTTAATGTTTCGGAGGAGGACCCGGCGCTCTTGGAGTGCAGGAGTCTAAGGGGGAGAGGGGGTTTTCTGCTGTCTTCTTGTCTTATGTTGTGAGTGCGACGAACTTTCGGCCTGGCGCAGCATGCGTTCGGGGAGCACTGGTCTTGCCCAAACTTCAAAAAGGTGGGATCTTTTTGAAGCAAACTCTGGCCACCAAAACGCATGCTGCGCCGGGCCGATAGTTCGACCCACCAACATCTTGGGGTTCTTACACCCATACCCCGCCCTCTTCCCCATAGACTCCTGACACAATGGGGCTGGGGGCCTCCTCCGGAGCTACTATAGTACTATATTTTCAAAACGGGGTATTAATTTCTCCGCTAGCAGGCGTAGGGAAAACGCTACTTTTCGGCACTCCGCTACTCCGCGGGAGCCTTCACTGTCTGCATGCCATCCAACATGTGCCGTGGGTCGAAACTTTCGGCCCGGGGGTGCCTTCCGTAAGCACTTTTTGAAGCAGACTCTGGCCACCAAAACGCATCCATAAGCACTTTTTCAAGCAGACTCTGGCCACCAAAACGCATGCTGCTGTCAGTAAGCACTTTTGAAGCAGACTCTGGCGACCAAAACGCATGCTGCCTTCTGGAAGCACTTTTTGAAGCAGACTCTAGCCACAAAAACGCATGCTCTGCGCGATGCCGACGCCGGCCAGGTCCTGGACGCTAGATTTTTTAGTGGAAACGGCCTTGTGAGGAGCATGACCAGGAATAAAGTTTCGTCGCTCTTGACAAGACTCGACAAAGTTGACGGAGGACAGCGGAGTATTGCATCATGGTTTTGTTCTAGCCTGGCCAGCGGAGGAATTAATCCCCTGGAATAAACTTATACTATTTTTAATGTTCCGGAGGAGGACCCGGCGCTCTTGGAGTGCAGGAGTCTAAGGGGGAGAGGGGGTTTTCTGCTGTCTTCTTGTCTTATGTTGTGAGTGCGACGAACTTTCGGCCTGGCGCAGCATGCGTTCGGGGAGCACTGGTCTTGCCCAAACTTCAAAAAGGTGGCATCTTTTTGAAGCAAACTCTGGCCACCAAAACCCATGCTGCGCCGGGCCGATAGTTCGACCCACCAACATCTTGGGGTTCTTACACCCATACCCCGCCCTCTTCCCCATAGACTCCTGACACAATGGGGCTGGGGCCTCCTCCGGAGCTACTATAGTACTATATTTTTAAAACGGGGTATTAATTTCTCCGCTAGCAGGCGTAGGGAAAACGCTACTTTTCGGCACTCCGCTACTCCGCGGGAGCCTTCACTGTCTGCATGCCATCCAACATGTGCCGTGGGTCGAAACTTTCGGCCCGGGGGTGCCTTCCGTAAGCACTTTTTGAAGCAGACTCTGGCCACCAAAACGCATCCGTAAGCACTTTTTCAAGCAGACTCTGGCCACCAAAACGCATGCTGCTGTCAGTAAGCACTTTTGAAGCAGACTCTGGCGACCAAAACGCATGCTGCCTTCTGGAAGCACTTTTTGAAGCAGACTCTAGCCACAAAAACGCATGCTCTGCGCGATGCTGACGCCGGCCAGGTCCTGGGACGCTAGATTTTTTAGCGGAAACGGCCTTGTGAGGAGCATGACCAGGAATAAAGTTTCGTCGCTCTTGACAAGACTCGACAAAGTTGACGGAGGACAGCGGAGTATTGCATCATGGTTTTGTTCTAGCCTGGCCAGCGGAGGAATTAATCCCCTGGAATAAACTTATACTATTTTTAATGTTCCGGAGGAGGACCCGGCGCTCTTGGAGTGCAGGAGTCTAAGGGGGAGAGGGGGTTTTCTGCTGTCTTCTTGTCTTATGTTGTGAGTGCGACGAACTTTCGGCCTGGCGCAGCATGCGTTCGGGGAGCACTGGTCTTGCCCAAACTTCAAAAAGGTGGCATCTTTTTGAAGCAAACTCTGGCCACCAAAACCCATGCTGCGCCGGGCCGATAGTTCGACCCACCAACATCTTGGGGTTCTTACACCCATACCCCGCCCTCTTCCCCATAGACTCCTGACACAATGGGGCTGGGGGCCTCCTCCGGAGCTACTATAGTACTATATTTTCAAAACGGGGTATTAATTTCTCCGCTAGCAGGCGTAGGGAAAACGCTACTTTTCGGCACTCCGCTACTCCGCGGGAGCCTTCACTGTCTGCATGCCATCCAACATGTGCCGTGGGTCGAAACTTTCGGCCCGGGGGTGCCTTCCGTAAGCACTTTTTGAAGCAGATCTGGCCACCAAAACGCATCCGCAAGCACTTTTTCAAGCAGACTCTGGCCACCAAAACGCATGCTGCTGTTCGGAAGCACTTTTGAAGCAGACTCTGGCGACCAAAACGCATGCTGCCTTCCGGAAGCACTTTTTGAAGCAGACTCTAGCCACAAAAACGCATGCTCTGCGCGATGCTGACGCCGGCCAGGTCCTGGGCGCTAGATTTTTTAGCGGAAACGGCCTTGTGAGGAGCATGACCAGGAATAAAGTTTCGTCGCTCTTGACAAGACTCGACAAAGTTGACGGAGGACAGCGGAGTATTGCATCATGGTTTTGTTCTAGCCTGGCCAGCGGAGGAATTAATCCCCTGGAATAAACTTATACTATTTTTAATGTTCCGGAGGAGGACCCGGCACTCTTGGAGTGCAGGAGTCTAAGGGGGAGAGGGGGTTTTCTGCTGTCCTCTTGTCTTATGTTGTGAGTGCGACGAACTTTCGGCCTGGCGCAGCATTCGTTCGGGGAGCACTGGTCTTGCCCAAACTTCAAAAAGGTGGGATTTTTTTGAAGCAAACTCTGGCCACCAAAACGCATGCTGCGCCGGGCCGATAGTTCGACCCACCAACATCTTGGGGTTCTTACACCCATACCCCGCCCTCTTCCCCATAGACTCCTGACACAATGGGGCTGGGGGCCTCCTCCGGAGCTACTATAGTACTATATTTTCAAAACGGGGTATTAATTTCTCCGCTAGCAGGCGTAGGGAAAACGCTACTTTTCGGCACTCCGCTACTCCGCGGGAGCCTTCACTGTCTGCATGCCATCCAACATGTGCCGTGGGTCGAAACTTTCGGCCCGGGGGTGTATGGGTCAGTCACCTGCCTTTGCGTGCACATCGATAGTTGATTGTCATGGTCATCGTTGACGTGAGCTTTCGATTGATGCCCGTCCTGACCTGTGTGGAAGCCTGGATGCTCTTAGCGCTTAGATGTCTGAGCTCTTGGCTGACGCCAGGCCTCTATGCCCATTCGTGTGCTTCGTGGTGGAAACAACGCCTCTTAGCTGCCACCAAGCACGACCGCTTTCCTCAACGAACCGCACACCTCAACCACCGATGCCCGTCCCTGGCGACAAACTTTGAACGCATCGTGCTGCAAAGAGTCCACTGAAGGAAGGGGCCCCCAAACGCGGAAAAAATATCGGAGTTCGCTGGCGTGTTCTAAACTCTTTTGTTTTGAGTGGCCTCGCAGTACGGCACGCACGCTTCTCAGAATTCAGAAGGAGGGGGTTCCTGGCTACTATTTGCTTTTCATGATGTTACAGACAAGTAGACATGCATGTTATATTCGAGACGATATTGTAACATATTATAATAAGTGAATCCAGCATGGCTTAGTAGACTGTAGGTAAGATCATGTATCATAGCAACAGTTTGCTTAGATAACATATAACATACGGTCACATATGGTCATGAATTATCATCATACACACATATACATGTGCGTGTGCATCTGCATCTGCATCTGCATCTGCATCTACATCCACGTACAACTATCTGCTCAGCAGCAGCAGCAGCAGCAGCAGCAGCAGCAGCAGCAGCAGCAGCAACCACCACAACAACCACAACAAGAACCAGAACCAGAACCAGAACCACGATACTGACACATTATTCATCGCAGTAACGGTAGTAGGCGCCGTACGTTGACCAACTCGGCCCGACGGAACCTCTGACCCAGGCGAACATTCAACATACACGTGCATGCAAGGAGTTCAGAGGGAGCCATCCAACGTCCTGTGTTTGTTTAGATTGGAGCCCGGTTCTTTGACCGGCCCTTCGCCGTACCTCCTATTGACCCTTGGCCTGAGGCCCTGGGCCATCCGCCACGGCTTCGTCTCGATGGCCTTGGAGGCATTGCAGCGAGCCGTCGAGGAGCCTGGAGGGGTCTTGTTTGGGGGGGAGTTGGAGCTAGGGTTGGGGGGGGGGGGGGTTGTTCGGGTAGGGATGAGAGATTTGACTTCTTGAGACTTTCTGCTTCCTGTTCTCGAGAGCTTTTTCAAGACCCGGCCAAACACCCCATTGGCGAACAGGCACCGCATCCCTTGGAGCGGCCTGCAGCTTGCCTCCAAAAAAGGGGGGAGATGGGGGAGGTCCACTCTTCAAGGGAGTGGAGGCTTTGTGACCTTGCACACTGTGGGCGGGTCTAGCGATCCCAAACTTGCAAAACCTGATGAGTCTCCCAGGTCTGCCTCGTCACCTTCGACGAGATTGCCCATTTGCCTGAAGAGAGCCCTGTAGAGTCTGGCCTTGGGCAGTTTGGTGCCTTCAGAGATTCAGGGCGGTTGTGGGGCGACCCTAATCCTTGGAAGCTGCTTGAAGGATGCAGGCTCCGTAGACTGTAAGTATAGGAAGCCCCGCATATGCGCTTAAGTGCGATTGCCAGTATTTTCCTGCGGCAGAGTTCTTTCCCGTGTGCCGATATGGAGTTAGACTTAGGTCACCTTCTACGAGCCCACTCACTCTGGGCGCTTCCGGGCTGTTGCTCTCGGGTAGCAACCAGCAGGTCTGTTGCCGTAAGCCGTGATTCTTCTGCTTCAGCAATTCGCTTTTAGTTTTGAGCCGGCTCATCTTCCCATCGAGTCGGCAGCAATGGTTCACTCACAGTCATTGTCAGGTTATGCCAGACCTCGATGATCCGTTTTTGCCGGTGATCCCAGAGACACTTGGAGTGCCCCGGCGGAGGAAGCTGTTGGACAGGCAGCCTGATTGGCACGGGTTACTTGAGAGCATCTGCAAGCTGACGTCCAGCAACTTCTCAAACTGTCGCGTGTGGACATCCGGCACTGTTCCGCAATGGTTGCTCAAACTGCGTGAGTAGATGAAAAGAGGTACACTTGCAAGATCCGGAGCAGAAGGGGTCGTTTCTCGAGCTGCTGGCCTCCCTGCAGAAGGAGTACAGCAAGGACCCCGAAGTGGCCCAATGCCACCATATTCCCTTGCCCACACGATGCCGAAGGATACCGATGATACAAAGCCCCACACCCTGAGCCCTAAACCCTCCTGTTGTGGTGCCTCCTTGTTGAATCTGCCAGGCCACCTGGCTCCAGGAGCCAACGTCGCCATTTTGCAAGGCAGGGGTTCGGCTCTGTCTCGTTCCATGATGTACCTTATTCTACATGAGACCTTGTCATGTTATGCGTACTAGTAACCGGGGGCGGGGGGCCGTACCCTTATGTACGGCGGTAGGCTGTAATATGTTTCGCATGAGAGGTTACGTATGTTACGTTTGAGTCACCTTGGCCTTGTTGCCCCTTGTTGCGTGAGGAGGGTGACCCGTTCCATTTGCACGACGAGACTCAGGACCTTTCCACGGCAGGTTCAGCAGCGTTTCTGTTGTAGCTGCCACTAGCTGCGCATTCGTACAAAGTCCGACACGCCTTGCACATTTATTGCCCATTAATGCAAGATTGCAGATGTTGCCAGTGTCATAAGTGACTCACAAGCCTCGGATCGAGTGCACATTGGTCTGTAACGCGACATGTGGCAGGATGTTGCAAGCACAGCTGCTGCTTGGCATTGCGATGCTTCGGGCGTGGCCATCGGACTATCGGATCGGTCAATGTCATGTGGGGCACTTCTATGATCTGAATGTATGTGCTTGACAGAAAGGTTTGGGCATGTTTGGGCCTTTGATCTGTGCGTACTTCAGGTAAAATATTGCTTCAAGTTCGGGCTAGGCATGATCAGCTGAGGTTCTGCGCACATGCGTTCAAGCACTTACCACCATGGGCGGAGGCGACGTCGTACTTTTCCAGGCTGGATGCGAGCAAATCTAGTGCGGTTGAGTACCCCAACTTTCTGTCGCATGAAATCCGTTGCCCTTAGATGTCCTGATGTCCCGGATATGGATGCGCTGATAGCACGGACAGAATCATCGTTGGAGTGCCCCGTTCATGCATGGACGCTCGGCCATGATTGCTCCGGAAGCGGTTGGCCACAGTGTCACATCGGAAGCTGCAGGTATACCAAACTGCGCTGCAAATGCCGATATGTTCGGCATGGGTTGTCTACAGCAACTCGTGATGTGACGCTTTGAAACACCTCCGGCCCGAAGACCGCAGGCCCGGATGAGGTTGAATCAAGATGGCCTTCTAGCAGGCTTCAACATGCAGAGGAGTGGAGACTTTGGCCAAATTCAGAGTCCAGCCAAGAAGACTGCTGCTGTTTCCGTTGTTGACATTGCCGTCGCCGCCGCCGCCGTCGTCGTCGTCGTGGCAGCTGGGACTGTTGCTGCAACTACGACTGCTGCTGGCAGTTGCTAGCAGTTCCGTTTTTCATGGCTTCAACGGTGCTACTGCTGGGAATTCGTTGCTGCTATTGAATGTACTAATGTTGCGAATGTTGTCAGTGCTGCTCATGATGTTAAGGTTGTTGCATGGTGGTTGTTGTTGGTGGTAGCAGCGGCATAGCGGACCATATGACTTCTTGTTGGCGAAGCCATGAAGCACTGGCGGGCTCCCACCCCTGTTTTCTGATTTTGGGAACCCATCTGACGCTGAAAAAAGACTGACAGTCAATCTTTGAACAAATCCTTGCAGCCGCAGGCGACGGTCGGTGAAAGCTGGGTCGGCGACAGCGACTCTGCGCCCGAAGCCGACGACCCGCTCTCACCGAAGACGCCAAAGACGCCAAAAACGCCGAAGACACCCATGGGGACCCCCTTGAAGAGACTTTGATTGCAATGATGTGAGATGCGTTGGTGGGAGCAGATTCACAGTCGTGCTGGGATTCCTTCGTGTTTTATAGGGGTTGGTTATGCTTGGCCGCAATTGGGGGGGTTAAGCCGCCGATGTTATCCCGATCTGAGGTTTTTATCAGGCCTGTGTCTTGTCGGATCCTAGGATTTTATCCCAGGAACATGGGTGCATATTATGCTTGCTTGGGTCGGTCATGGAAGGTGTATCCACAGTTTGTTGTCAGGGTCAGGCCCCAGGATTTTATCCAGAGTAATGTTCCCCCGTCTGTCTCTGTCCTGCACAAGGGTCGGGCCTGAGGATTTAATCCGCTGGGGCCTTGCCTGTCTCAATATGCTGTGGGTCCGTTTTTGCCTCCCCCGGAGAGGCTCAAGCCTAATGTCTACAAATCAAAATTTATCCTCGGAAAGGTTGGTTCACAAGGATTTTATCCAGATAAATTTGTGGCTTAACCCTTCGGCCCGTGTCCAACGGGTATGTGTTTTTGAGATCAGTAGCAAAAGTAATGTTCCCAAGAGTCTTCGAACTCCTTACAGAGACCATCTGGAAGTGATTTTTTCAGATTCGCTGCTTCATAGCAGAGGCATCATACAAGCTTCAATCCCCCCATTCAAAGACCATTCAACTTTGAATGCCCCATGGATGCCAACATGAACACCGCCTCGTCACGCAAGCCGCCTCGTCACGCAAGCCAGATGAACATTGCACGCCCACCCTGACATCTTCGAGGCTGTATCCTGTCGATTTGGCTTGGAATACCTGTAAGTGACCCGCACTGTGCTCAAGCTCCTCAAGCCCCTTACTCAAGGAAAAAGAAGAAGCGCAGCTTCTTGGAGCAGATGCATCGTACATGCTGTCGCACAGGCATTCCAGCGCGGAATCTCTTGGGGTTAAAGGTAAAGCAGGGAAGGCTGTGTGCATCCCTCACTTCTGACTTCTGACTTCGAGCTCTGCCCCATCTTCGGTGTTTTGATCCGGTTCATGATCTCTGGGTTGGCCAGGCAAAAAATCTTCAGCCGAAGCACTCTTAAGCTGCCGGAAGCTCTTGCGCCTGCCAGCAAATGTCCGAAGTGAAATCACCCCACAAATCTTAAGACCCTTTCTGCATGCTTGAAGTCTCAGAAGCTTGACCGCCAGGCGTGGCTGTCAGTGCAGTGACAGTCGCTCGCGAGGGCTGCGATGCCACGAAGCTCCACTGGCTGCCCTGGCGGACCGGCGGAGATGTGCCCCGACAACACGATGATTTCTTGTTGCAGTAAGATGAGGTCACTTGCTTATAGCACTGCTGCTGTAGCTTTTGGTTCCCTGTTCTCTGCCGAATCCATGCTTCCACGTCAGTCATGAGATGATCACTGAGGCGCGCTGGGTTCGGGTGAGGATGGCTGAAGAGTAGATTGGCCGGAGCTTGTCACATCCGAAGCCTAGGAAATAGAGCTTGTAGGAAACCTTCCAGGAAACGAAATGCCGAGCAACGGAGCCATGCGAAGATGTGCAGCTATATTGTGCAAACCCTCAACCTTTAAATGAACTCACCCTAAACCCTTCAGTGAACACGCCCCACCAGGTGTTCTGAAAGGGGAGGGATCTTGGGGAATTGATCATCTTCACTTTGAGGGGGAGAGAGAAGAAGAGATTGCTCTGTCCGAACGCGAAATCTACCCAGCGACGGCCCGAAGCATCTGAATTACTGGAGGCAAGACCTTGAGTTGTGCAGGGTAACTTATTCCGACGCTCCATTGCGTTACCGGCCAGAGTTTAGACTTCCGACGCTGTGGTGCCAAGGTGCTGCACGTGCCAAGCTTCGGACCTGGAGCGGGCCAGAACATGGCCCAGCATCTGCAGCACTGGATGAGAAAGATGCAAGGTAGTGCCTTGTCAGGCACTGGGTAGATACAGGCTCGGATGACACTGGATGCCAGTGGCAAGCAGTCCAGGCAGGACCACTGCAGGACCCAAGGTTTTTCTGCAAAGGCTCGTGGGCAAGAAGTCGGCATGAGCTCATTTTGGGGAACAGGCAGAGATCCTGAAGCAAGAGCAACCAAGTGTTCGGTGCAGCGCAAGCCTTCGAAGGTGCTTACAATTGCGTGGTGAAGTTCCGCTGCAGCAAAGGCAGGAAGATTCAGGGAGGTTGCCCATGAACGAGTCAACGCACTGACGGCGTGTTTCATGCAGTGGCCAAACTCCGCTTTGCGCGCTCAGCACCTTCAGTCTGAGCAGCATGTGGACTGCAGTGTTGCGCGAGCAGGAGGTTCCCTGACCTTTCCACCAAGACATCAATCCATACATGAAAAGCCTGCCAGATGACATAAATATATAAAGGTTGTCAACACAACGGAATGGCGTGTGTTGCCTAGCACAGCACCGCGATGTTTGCTCCCTGTTGTGTGTTTGTTGTAATTGCTGGGCACTTGCGCATCGACGTAGACGTAGCTGGCACAGCTCTACTTGTAACCGACCACGTTGCACAACATTCTGCATATTTCTGTTCTGTTTTGTCTGGCCAGGGTAACCTTCGGCATCCCAGCGCATTTGACATTGCCGCAGCATGAAACAACATAACAAAAGCAGAGCAGCACCGGCAAAAATCCCAGAACCCCAAGAACCTGAAAGAGATTTGATTCTCTCAAATTGTCTTAAAGAGGCCTCAGCTGCAAGTCCCTCCTGGCACCGTGGCCGGCCGCGGCCTCGGCAGCCGACCAGAGCGCCTTCGAGGCTCAGGGGAGGGCAGCAGTCGTCACGGGTCAGAAGTGAGAGAGGGCACTCAGTTTTTGCGTTTTCTTTTGGCCTGTGCTACGTGGTGGCGGAAGCACGTGGAACCCTTCGTGAAAGCTTAAGGGGTTTCTCTTCGTGCCAGGTGCCGAGACTCTCTCCCGAGATGTCTGTCACCTTCATCCTGCGGCCCGAGATCGAAACAGACCCAGAGGAGGACGCAAACTTCAAATGTCACTGGAGTGGATGCGGGCAGTGTATCGGGTGGTCATTCTAGCGAGGGTGCGCAAAGAAGTGCTTGAGCGCGTCAACCTTGGCGAGGACTACTCCCGTATCCGCGACCGGAAGTCTTTGTCTGTTCAAGCAGCCATCCTGTGCCGAGACGCAATTCGGGGATCATTCCTCGCACGTACCATGTATACTTAGCTACCTACCTGACCTTGATCTACATCCTTGGCCTTTGCCATGGTTTTCACTGAGGTATACCAACTCCAAAGGGGAGCGGCTGCTGAGGACTTCACTTTACAGTATGACATCCTCTATCGCCTCGCAAAACTGCTACTGGCAGTGTGGAGCCACCCAGGTTTAGTCTGCAACGGGCCTTCGCCTGCAGTCGGAAAGCTCTCCTTGAATCTTGAATGCCATAGTAGCAGTTGGCATGAACGAGCTTCAAAAATCCGCGGACACAAAAGAGGCTCAAAGAAGGCAACCTTGGCTTGGGCTTTGCAGATATTTGTTTTCGAAGATTGGTGACCTTGTGACAGGACCCACACGCGGAGCTTGACCGTTCCCAACTCCGTAAGGCGGGCTGCCAGGCTGCATCCTTCGTAGTCCAACACTACAAAGGCACGAGCTGCGTAAGAAGAAGAGCTCGCAACATATTTCGATCATGTGTGCAGGCAAGTCTACCAGAGCGTGAATCTGGCGCCGCTTATGACAGTACTGCTGAAGCAGGCCTGGAAACATGCACATGCTGTATACAGGGTTTTGGGCAGTTCGCATGCCACTGCTGGACTGGACAGCCCAAACTTTAGGCAGGTCAGGATCGTGGCCCCTTTGTCGGGGCTGAGGTCACCTGCAGCTCGCCAAACTTGTGCAGTTGTTGCCCTTCTCCCCCTAAGCCTCGGATTCGGATGCGATTTTTCCGCTATGGACCTCCGGGTGGAGCTCCGGCGGCCTTTGCTTCCCCAGCTGCGCCTGTTGAGAAGGGGCCATGAGCAGATTCAGGGTCGGTTTACTCTTTTCCCAGGCTTTCTGCAATACCACATCTTCGTGATGCAAGCGAGAAAGCCAGCCTTAGAGAGCACTGCTGTGTCAGTGAGGCGGTTGCGGTGGCGCTCGACCCCACGCAGTCGGCCAAGATCCCGCGGGACCTTCTCCTGGAGAGCTGTCTGCAGGCAGGAGCGTCTGAAAACATGCCCCGGTAATGCTGAGCCGAATAGTACCCTTTGAGGTTACCGCTATATGTTTGCAATGAAGTGCTGCATCAGCATGGTAAGACAGGTTAGGGGGATAACCGGGGGACATTTGGGCTCGGTTGCTCACACAGAGAGGCCAGGTGGTTTGGAACGACACCTTGCGTTGGTCCTCTGATAGTCCTGTCAGTTGGGCTTGCTTCCAAACGAATGGGGTTTTATGAATTGTACTGAATTAAAATTCCCATTTGTGGGAAGGCACCTTGGGAAGGGGGACCGAAGGGGTGCGGAAGCTGAGGGCTGTCAGATGCTGCAGAGGCGAGCCGCGAGTGAACCAAATCCTGCAGCCGTGTTCGGCATCGTCTCAGAAGGAAGTCACTTGTGGCTCTCCTCAGCAGCAGCGTTCGCAGGTTCTTCAGGGGGTGGGCCATTGGGCCTCCGCTGTGGGCGGGTGCGTCATCGTCATGCTCGCAGTAAGAGCCAGTGAACATCGGTGGACATCAGAGTGTGTGCGTGTGTGAGCGCGACAGAACGGGATTTCGGACAGCAGTGTTTGCAATCGCGTCCCAAAGCTCCAGGGCTCTTGTCTTCTCCAAAACTGTTGTCCCAGGGTCCCAGAGAGCTTGTTGTGTTCACGGGTCCTTGCAGTCTCCAGTTCCCAGCGATTTGGGCAGAAGTCTTGCTCTCTGGTCTTGTCCAGCACCTCCAGCTCCTGCTAACAAACGGGACGGGCGAAACTGAATCAGCTCTCATTATTTACCATCATAAATTGCAGATTTCTCTAAAAAAAGCTGCTCTCAGCATGGCTTCAGGGAGCCCAGGATGGGGACGGCAGGGGGCGGGGTCTCCGGGTAGGTCAGGCTTTAGGTGCATGGAGTTATGCTCCGCATGTTTTAAAGGGGTTAACCCACAATGTCCCCAAGCCATGGTGTCATTCCTAAGCCATGCGGCACGTTCCTGGCCTTGCGCCTTGTTCATGCCCTTCACTAGCCGTGCTTGCCTTTCCTGCATTGTGCCGCGAGATTCTCGGAACGTTTCGGAGACGGTGCGTGGAATACGCGACCAAGAATTGTTTAGCGCGGCACTTGGCTTCTGCCGCTGGACTTGCCAGCTCCACGCATGCATGATTGATAACGGTCATGACGAAGTACTAGTTACCAGTCAGAAGTGGCCCTAGACAGCATCCTCAGCAACAGCCCCTAGATGGACCTCTTGGGTGTTTGAGAGCAGCCCAGGAGAAATGCGGGGATCACGTAGGCTAGGCCACTCAGATCTGCTGAGATGCGTGCCCAGGTCATCAACCGTCAGTTGTTGCTGTTTCCGCTATACGTGGCTGCCTCAGCTGCCTCAGCTGCGTCCCAGAACTTCGAAACCTTCATGGAATGAAATCGCCCGCCCCCAAAAAAGACAAGAAACCGTCATGCAATGAAATTGTCCCCCCCCCAAAAAAAAACGCTGAAACGTCATGCAATGAAATCGTCCCCCAAAAAAGACGCGAAAACGTGATGCAATGAAGTCTTCCCCCCCAAAGACAAGAAGAATCTGTCATGCAATGAAATCATCCACCCCCAAAAATACAAGAAACCGTCGAGCTCAGCTCTCGAACCCTCAACCCCTACGTTCCAGACAATTGGGAATCCAATGCGGGTAAAACTTTCAGGCGTTCCGTCACGACAGCCTTTCTTGATGAGCCCAGCCTTCGCTATCGAGAGTTCGTACCCTCCCCCAGGTATGCACGCCGCCGCTCTCCACCTCAATAGCCCGGTACAACAACCTTCGGTTGTCGATGGCTTGACCCTGCGATACGTGTGTGCATGGGGCTTGGTGCTGAGGTCCTGGCGGCCCGGAAGCTACTCTATTCTCTGACGAGCTCAAAAGAGGACAAGGTCCCATGCCAGCGGATGGCCATGTTTGGGTTTGCGTTGCTGCTGTTGCAAGTGCTTGTGCATGAAGCTCCGGCAACATCCTTCCTCTGCTTTTCCGGAGCGTGAAGTTGAAACTGAATGTCTCACGGATTGACAAATCTGGAAAGGCTGGGAGCATGCCTCTGAACTAAAACAAAACATAGAAAAAACTCAACCTTGCAGAAGTTACCCGACAATCAGCCGCCTGCAAAGCGTTCAGCGAAGATCCGAGCCAGGCCCAAGTGGAGGAGTCCCTGCACCGGATCCTGAGGACGCGTCCGCGGCTTTTCCCAACCCAATTTGGGGAATTTGGGGTGTCGAAGTTTCTTACATATAAAGGTTCTGAGAGCAACTCTAAGGCATGTCGGCAAACGAGCTTAGAGTTTGTTGGCTTGAAATATAGAAGTGCACTGCTGCCATACCGTCAGATTAATGAAGGGACGTGGAGTCTATCAAGGATGTCGGGAGCTTGCGTGTCACATGTAGCCGACGTGATGCTTGAGGGGCTAAATATCCGTGCCAGATCAGAGAATGCTCCAAACGGAGACACGAAGCTGCCTGGAAGGATGCCAATCCACAGTGTCATGGTGGCCTTGTATCCTAGGGTCTCGGGCCGAGCAGTTTCACCGTGACAATGGTCTCGTGATGCTGTGTTTCTTGGGCTATCACAGTGGCTCAGTGCCCGCAGTCTGCCTCGAAGCAAGCCCCAGCTAAGCGCTAAGCTCTTTGCCAATCCAGGTGTACCCTTTGCCGGCCGATTCACCCGAGGGGGTGGACCTCCCAAGGCCTTCAAGAGAGTGCAAACTCGTTGGCTACCTGGGAAGTGGCACCGCGAGTACATCTGCCTTCTATGAAATCTCAATGTGCATTGTGCACTCCTCATCACTCCTCATCGTAGTTTGTTTTTGGATTCCGTGAGTCTGCTAGGACCCTTTGGCTGTGAACTGACGAGCAAACAATTTTTTTTCTCTCCTGGGTCCGGTCGCCAGCGTGCGGGGCCCCACCGTTTTCCCGCTTGACGCGGCCAGACTGACTCCTCCATTTTCTGGCCGACGCCTGCATCGCGTCAGATTGCAGCCTTCGGACCTCACAACCGAACAACCAAACATTTCTCATCTTTTCTCCCGGTGATGGGTTTGATTGCCGTCGAACCCCCCTGCGTTTTCCAACGCGGCCTGGGCCCCACCGTTTTCCCCTGCGACGCGGGGACCTCCGTTTTCTAAACAGCGCCTTTGCCATCTGATTGGAGCCTTCGGGCGTGACCTCATGACCGAATGGCCACTGTTTTTTGGACGGGGAGGGGGGCCGGCACATGTATGCGGCAGTCTCAGCCTCAGCATTCTCTGACTCGGCCCTGTGATCTTCCGAATGAGGTTTACGCGTTTTCCGATTGCGCCGCACGCGTGGTCTGACTGGGTCCCCCAGTTAGCAGACTGAGGCATTGCGTTTTCCAACCTGCGTTTTCGAATTCAGCCCTCACGCGGCGCGCACTAGCTTGACTGAAAGTGAACAGCTCTTGCCGGCACACACCAATTGCGTGTAGGGTATTGTTTTCTGTTTCAGGCATGGTTTTTGATCAGGCTTTTGAAAGCCAGTTTTTTGCCAGACTTGCGCTCCACCCAGACTTGATCCACGGTTCTCTCATGTCTGAGATGCTTAGAAGTTCTTACTGTTTGCGCATGGAAGCGGAAGATGGACTTTGCAGAACTTGTTGGGGTTTTGATGGGTTTTGGCTAGGGGTGTTGTCGTGTTGCTGGAAAGCAATCTGTGTTGCGAGTCGAGCCTTAGCAGCCGCCAGGGCAAGCGCTGCCCTGGAGGAGGTGGTGACGAGGCTTTCAATTTCAGTGCAATCCTTGTGGCAAGCCGCAGACCCGCTGACTCTGTTCGCTTTGGTATCTGCTGGTGTTTCTTTCGTCGCGTTCTCTTCGCAGCTCTGTTCTTTGCAGGGGAACCGCTCCGGCGCACCTCATCACCAACGGCTTGGGCATGTGGTACCATCAGACAGGCGCATGAGGGCATTCAGTATTCACAGGAAAATGCTGAGCCCTCGTCAGTTCGAAGTGCCTGGCGGCGTTGCAAGCCACACGCACTCCTGACAGTCGTTGCGTAAAGAAATTTGGCACAAGAGCAAGTAAAGTGAAGTATTCGCAGACTCTCCAGGCGCACCCGAGCGAGAGAAAGAGCTCCGCGAAGCTGCTTCAGAGCTTGCGGAGAGGCGCGCCCTTGGTAGCGCCCTTGGTAGCGCCCTGAGGTAGACGAGGGAGGAGGGTGGGGTTCTGGCGTTCGTTTGCTGAGGATCTTGGCAGGGGCAGCGAAGCTTCATAAAAGTCAAGTCTATGTACGTCATACTTCGGCCTAGATCATCGATCTACAGCGAATCCAGAACAAGAGCTCTTCACGAATGATTCCAGCATGCGGTCAATGGTCCATCATGGCCCCTGAACCCTCAAAGCTTCAAACCCTGACCCTAAACCTGAAAGTCCTTAAACCCCAAGCCGGAACCCTATAAGCCCAGACTATGACAAAGCCCTATAAACCCTGCTCAACCTTGCAGGATCCGCGAAGTGCTCCAGCCGAGCCAGGCACTTTGTTTTTGTAAGCACATCGTCCAGACCTTTGAGGGTTTTGGGGGTTGGAGGTCCGTGGGCTTGTGTGGATGGGAGCCACCAAGTCGAGCCCTGGAAAGAAGTGGGTTTTTTGTTCTGAGGACGTTCCTTTTTTTGGCGATGTGGCGCCTTTGGAAACATGGCGCGCTGCCGCCAGGACTGGGTGCCTTTGACCGATCTGCCGCGGCTGCCGACAGCCTTGGAGGCTGTGGAGCCGTCGGATGAAGGGAGCAGAGGCGAAGGTGGTGAAGGTTAGCGGCAGAGGGTCCCTGTAGGGCACCGCTATAAGGTTTTTGGAGCATTGGTGTTTGTGGCCTTTCAAGAGGTTTGCTTGGCCTCGCGGAGCGCCTTTTCTCCTCCCTTTCAAAAGCCTTCCCCCTTTTTTCTTACCCGACAAGTGGGGTACTTAGTTAGTTTTTAAGGAGAAAGCGGCACACGTCATGTGACGCGACTTGCTCAGGAGAGCAGGTAGGAGATCTTTCAGGCAGTACAGCAGTCAGGACATGGAATGTTGCCTTAATGAGCAATGCGAGGCGGGCAGCTGTACCGGAATGTGACATGAAAAACCTGGCCAGGGAGGATCGCCTCATCTTTCAGCCCCCTTTCCTTTCACTCAGAACCCCACGAAAGAATGCTTTCCTTTCCGCCCAGAACAGTACGAAAGATGAGGCCCCTCTCTTTCAGTCCCATTCCCTTCCATCCAGAGCCCCATGATGAGGGGGTCATCTTTCATGGGGTTTTGGGTGGGAGGGGAACGGGCCTGAAAGATGAGGAGCCATCTTTCATGGGCGTAATGTAATACAGTACTCCCTTGTGTTCATACTCCTTCTAAAATACGCAAAGAGAGACCCAGGAGAAGATCGGACAAGAAGCCACTCCGAGCCGACGGCCGCGGTACGGAAGTCACGGCCTCGAGAACTCAGCGCATGCCGAAAAAACGCACTGAAAGGTACTCTGGATGACTGTGGCGTAGGGGCTTTTTGTCCACTTGTTGTCTCTAGAGAAGTGGCGTGCTTTTCAAGCACGGAATGACTTGTGCAGAGAGCATGAAGAAGTAGCATCTGAGTGCGGAGCATCTGGGTACGGTACTCGCAAACGGCATGTCTGGTGCCTGGATTTGCCAGGTCGGACTCCCAGCATCAACGGGTCGCCACCAAGCCTCCCAATCGGAAGCTTGTCGGAACGTTCGCTTGTTAATGGTTCTGGGGGCGACGATGAGTCGCGCCGACTGTCATCTGGCCGAAGATCCTCTGTGCCACGCTCTGCTCTGCAATGCCTGTACGTAGTTGTTTCAGCTCTTATGCTCTTAACAGCTCTTAGTAGGGCCTCTTTCCTGGCCCGGCCGCCCTCCTGCCCCCTGTGCACACATTCTTGCAGCCAACGCAGAAAGAACACTTGCTTCATTGGGCATGACATGGAAACACGATCACGACTGCAATTGCGCAAGCTCCGGGAAAATGCAGTCTGAGGTTTGTTGGATATGTGCAAGCATTCGGATGAGGATGTTTTCACGAAAGCTAGGTCCGCGGCTAGGTCCTTGGAGCTTGAGGGTGCTGGTTTACAACCTTCTGGTTTTGGGCCAAGCAGGACATTGGCCTCACGCACTGTTTGGAGGTCACACAGGGGGCGGGGGGGAGGCGGGGGGCGGAGGTGGGGGGGGGGGGGTGGGAGTCATCAGGGGATGCCCTGCGTGCGGTCTCGGTGAGGTTCATAGTGAGACGTGTCAAAACAAAGCTGGGCACTTCAATCATGATTCGATGCTTCAGAGTTTGGGAGCTTGAGGCTCGTCACCCTTTCTGGGCCCGCATGCGATCTGCATGCATTGGTGAGATTTTGGCTAAGGAAAGGGTGCAGATCAAATCAGCTGGCCCGAGAAGGCCGGGACCTCCTCCAGCCCAACACTCTTGGGAATTAAGTGATGTTTTTTTGCATGAGCATCACCTGCCGCAAAGGTGCTAAAGGTAAAGATACGGACTGGAATAAATAAGCAAAGTGCATAAGATAAAGTTCGTTTCGCCCAAGAAGCCCCTAAAGTTGATTCGTGGGCAGTGAGCAATATAGCAGATGAAGAAGATCTCACCAGCTCTACCGAATGTTAGACAGCCGGACCTCGTCGGGTGTGGATGGCTGTCAAGCTTGCAGCTAGGGTCATGTGTTGTTAGCCAGCTGTTCTTCCGATTCTGCCTGCTGTTTTACAGGTGATGCTCTCTGCGATCTTCGTAGAAGACGCTGGTGCCAGGGCCTTACACGCTACAAAGATGGCGCGAGGTATCCAAAACAACCCGTTACTGTAGCGTTTGACAAGATGCAGCAATTTGTAGAGGGGTAGGAGTGGAAGCAGGTGGCAAGTTGTGTGGTGGCAGTGGGGATGAAAGGCTGAAGCATTGGGGTCATATACATTTGCAGCTGCACGCATTGAAGAATTGGATTTCGTTACTTGGTGTTCAGAGGTCAGTTCAGAATTCATCACCACGGCTACTTCACTTAAACCTGGCCTCTGAATCCCATGTTGAAGCGTGATGTTGTGAACATTCTTGCAGAAGTAGCTCAAGACTCACCCTCGAGCCGGCCAGGTCACTGAAGGGTCCTACGCTGACTGGGTTATCTTCCTTCAGGACGCGTGTTCTTGAGATTCAACAGCTACTGATCCTTCTCTCAGCTGTGAGACTAGGGGGTGCTTTGGATGCTTGAGCCTATCCCTTCCTTTCCTTGTTGAACAGCCGACAATTCCAAGCACAGCTGAGCACCGCACTTGCTCAAGACTTTCAGGAGCAAGAGCATGTTGCCCCCTTCCCAAGCCCATATTCTAATCACCACCCAAGATACTTCAGCCCCGCCCCCAATCGCCTACTCTCCCGTTCTGTGGAGTAGGCCTCGAGATCAGATGCAACTGCATGCTGACTGATCCTGTGAGATGGACGATGCATCCTCTCGGAAGGAGCAGGTTGCTCAGCGAGTCTCTGAAAGCAGCTGACGCGATGAGGCTGGTCCTTGGGGCTTCGCAGTGGTAATGGGAGGGCTGTCGGGGAATATAACGGTCATGTGTTCGGGTTCCTTAGGGGCTCGTGCGGAGATTCTTGCTTGGCGTATTCGGGAACTCCGGGGATTGGGGGCCCCACCTTGGGGTATGGCAACAGCGTACCTGATACTTCGAATCATGCAGCTGTCTGGCTGTCTGGAGTGTTGAACCTTGAGTCCAAACTTCGGATACAACTGATCCCAGCATTGCCCAGGCGCAGGACAAGACCTGTTGCGGAATACCAACCGCATTGCCTGACACGTTGGTCCAGTGCACGAAGTGCCAAGATCGCAAAAACCCATGCAAGCTGACCAGAGAGTATAGATAATATTCGGTACTTAGCGATGTCTAGAAGCATCCAACTTCGAACAACTGGACAGAGATGCTGGTCTTCCTTGGAGACGTTCCTTGCATTCCCCTAGACCATTCGAGACTGGATGCTTCAAAATAGGTCTTCAGCCTGGAGGTATGCATGCACACAATGTGCGGTTTGCAACTTTCCATCATCTTTTTTCCACCGACTCATCCGAAGGATGAGAGTTCCCGAGATCGGATTCTGACGTGATCCCTGAACGAACGAAGGCATCTGATACCGAACAGATCTGAGCCCTAAAAGCTCCAGGCGTCACCGTGCAGGTAGATGTTTGCCTACATCTCTTTGCCCATTGAATCCCTTCACGCCCGCTTTTCTCGCTGGGCAGATGCTCCCTTAGCTTTCTGGAGCTGTGCACCCACCTGGGGTCTCTGCTCCAAGCATGGCACCAAAATCCATGAAGCCAGCTGGGCATCGCTCAAGGTACATGGGGGCGAGGGAGGGCCACTGGTTTGCTGGCTTTGACAGAAACAAGCAGATGGCAAAAGCCATGGAGCTTGTAGGGAGATGGTGCCACAGAGCTCAAGCCTTTCGCGAAGTGCTCGTGTACAGCAACGGCAGATTCAAGGCTGCTGTTTTACTCCTATCACTACTGGCGGAAGCCGTATCTGTATGTCATGTGCGTGTAGTGGGTGGAGAGTCCAGAGATTTCCTCGTACTAAAGAGATGCTGCAAGCCTTCAAGCGCCACCCCTTGTTGGGATGGCCCTCACAAGATCTGGTAAGTTGAAACAGCAGATAGGATGCTGCATGTCCATGTAAAGCGGCATACAAAATGCCTGGAAACCACCCCGACCAAGAATGCGCTCAAGAAAGAAGGCTTTTGCATGGCAACATTCTCACCGGGAGGCCATGAGCTGCTAAGTTGTGGTTTGAGTCTTGTCAAAAGTTCTTCCGTAAGGTTCGGTGTAAGGTGCGGTTCTGGCTGATGAAATGGGAGTGGCACGTTGGGAGGGCTCGGCAGCCAACTTATTTGCTTGACTCTGCCCCTTTGACAAATGACCCTGGTGGTGTTCCTAGCCGGTCCTAGAGCCTGCTACGTTGAAAATCTGGGCTCAAGATTCGAAGCACGCGTCAATACTCAATCACCCACGCTCTCACTCACTCTATCACTCTATTCAACTCTATTCATTCGCCCACTCCCTCGCCTTTTAGAGGTATGCCTGTAGCTGAAGCTTGACAGTGCCGGCGGGATCAGTTCAGTAGCAGTAGCATGTAGCAGCCACAGAGAAGCCTATGCCCATGCAGCCTCGCGGTCAGCTCAGGCGAAGCGGTGATGGAGCAAATGTTAGCGTTTACCTCGATCTCTGTTATAAGCAATGGAAACGAACCAGTCGGGTCAGGTCTTGGAAGCTTGAACAACTAAGCAACAAGTTAGACACATGGATTCCTAACGTTTAGACCTTAACCTTGAACCGGCCAAACGTTGGAAAGGACAGGAGATGAAAAGGAAGCTGGCTCAAGCGAGGGAACATATCAGGATTCAAGACTGAAAAGTGTTCGGCCGAGGGTCAGAGGATATCGGGTGTAGGAGTACTCGTAGGGCGTAGCAACTCAGGTTCAAGCCTTCAGGGACTTAGCCCTCATCTTTTCCCCATTCGTTTGTTCTCCAGTTTGTGTTATCTCAGTGGTCTCTGCTCTGCACTGTAGCCATTCTGCTCTGTGCTGCGGATGTCCTTTCATGCGTTCTTGGCAGGCCCCTCTTGCCGAATGGTATCACCTGCGGCGCAGATCAGATCTCGACACACTGATGGGAGCAAAAAAGACGCCAACTAGCCCTGACCTTGTCCAGACTTGAACAAGGACTTCCATGAAATGGGAGCGGGTTGGGTCCGGTAAGACACAGAGGTTTCCATCGATCTAGGATTTACAATCGGTAGGCAGACTTACTCAGTCAAAAGAGCTTCCAAGTAAACCCAAACTCCTGAACCCTAAAAGCCTAAAGCCTAAAGCCTAAACCCTAAAAGCCTAAACCCTAAACCCGAAAACCTAAACCCTAAACCCTAAACCCTACCCCCCCCCCCCCCCCCAACTCCTAAACCCCTAAACCCCTAAACTCCGACACCCCCTAAACCCAAGGCCTTAGGAGGCCACTGTGACACCCTAAAACACTAGAACCTCGGTACGGTTTAGGGTGTGGGGTTTGGGGTTTGGGGTTTAGTGTCTAGGGTTTAGGGTTCGGGGTTCAGGGTTTAATAGGGTTTATGGTGAAGCCCTGGCGCGCCGCCTGTAGGACTGACGCGCTGCCCCGACGAGGCCGTCGGCAACCCAGACTTGGTGCTCCTTGCCTACTTGGAAGTTCATGGTACTTATTAACCCAATAGGGTTTAGGGTTTAGGGTCTAGGGTTTAGGGTTCAGGGTTTAGGGTTTAGGGTTTAGGGGCTATGGAGGTTCATGGTACTTATTAATCCAGTTATAAATTTCACTTATGACCCACTTGTAAGCCCATTGAGTGCCGTAACATGGTTATAATTGGGTTGTAAGTGCAGTTATATTTGGGTTCTCAAGTACCATGAACCTCCAAGTAGGGTTTACGGGGTTGGGTGCTTAGGGTCTAGGGCTCAGGGTTTAGCATCTAGGGTTCAGGGTTCATCGGGTTTGTGTCTTGAGGGTTTATTGTTAAGATGTTCCGCTTATATTCCTAGTCCTGAATCGGGATTATAATCGGGGGTACTCCAATCACTCACTATTCAGGACTGTTAGTATAAGGGGGAACATCCCAAGTTTAGGGTTTAGGGTCTCGGGTCTAGGGTTTAGGGTTTAGGGTCTAGGCTTCAGGGTTGGGGTTTAGGGTTTAGGGTTTAGGGTTTAGGATTTGGGGTTTAGGGTTTAGGGTTTCGGGTCCAAGGTTTAGGGTTTGGTGGTTTAGGGCGACAAGGTTCTGGGTTGACAAGATCGTAAGCTTAGAAAGGAGCAGACCTTCCCAAGCCCTGAATTCCATATCTTCAAGCCCTGAACACCCTGCCTCCGCGACCCTAAACCCGGAACCCAAATCCCACCCAAGCCCTAAACCCTCAACCCTAAACCCCCTAAACCCTGAAACCCTCTCCAGTTCCATAGACCCTAAGCCCCAAACCCTACATCCTAGGTGGACGAGGCCCGACTGATTCACGGCAGCAATCGGCAAGTGCCGGGGCTCCTACTTGAAGTTCCATGGAGTATTGAACCCTAAACCGTAAACCCTAAACCCTAAACCATAGAACCCTAAACCCTAAACCCGTGGGTTTAGGGGTTGAGGGGGTTGAAGGCCTGGCAGTTGGATCTCTCGGTGCCCTTCTTGTAGTCCCCAGTTCCTGAAAGCAGGGGTGCTCGTCGCAGTACGCGACTTGGAGGTTCATGGTACTTATTAACCCAATGATAGCTGCACTTATCAGCCAACTATCACCATGTTAGGCCACTTAAGGGGTTGAACTGGGTGATAAGTACCATGATCCTCCAAGAAGAGCAGGACACAAAACCTAGCAGTGAGGATGCTGTTGAAGGTGTTGGCGGAGGGTACAGAGTTGAGAATTCAGGGGCTCAGGGCCTTGTGCAAGAAGGCCCCCCCTAAACCCTCAACCCGAAGCTCTAAACCCTAGAGCCTAAACCCTAAACCCTAAACCCTAAACCCGCCGTTCGGGGCCCTGACTGAATTTTTCGAGGCAGGAAGTGAAGCACATCCTGGTGTCAGAAGGTCTGAGGCCGGAAGGGAACAGCATCTAGCAGGGGCCCCAAGGTAAGCGGTTGAGGGCTTAGGGTTTAGGGTTTAGGGTTTAAGGTTGTGTTGTAGCCTGGGAGCAAAAAAGCTATCATTCACGCAAAGTGGTGCTAGACCGAAACCCTAAACCCTAAACCCTGAACCCTAAACCCTGAACCCTGAACCCTGAACCCTGTGTTCTAAGCCTGCAGCTCTGAAACCTGAGCCCTGATCCACGCATACCGTAGATTCGCGCGGGGGGGGGCGAGGGAGCCTCCCAGGCTCCGCAAGGTCTTCTTCACAGGCTTGGCTTTTGAGATGTTCAGGGTTTAGGGTTTAGAGTTTAGGGTTTGGGGTTTAGGCTTTAGGATTTGGGGTTTAGGGTTTAGGGTTTGGGGTTTAGGGTTCCTGGACTGGTTAAAACCCCTAAGCCATGAACCCCCTACTTTCGCCGTTGCGCGTGCCAGATGTGGGCCCCAAGCATTGCCGAGAACCGGAGAGGGTTTCAGGGTTTCGGGTTTCAGGGTCGAGGGAGCAGGTTTAAGGGTTTAGGGTTTTAGGTTTTAGGGTTACTAGGGTTTAGGGAGCGCCTTAGTCTTGTGCTGCTGTTCAGCCATGGATCCCACTCCCAGTGGGCGGGACGAGGAGGAGGAGAAGGAGGAGGAGGACGAGGAGGACGACGAGGAAGAGAGCGACCAGGAGACCCTTGGGGTTTAGGGTTTAGGGTTTGGGGTGTAGGGTTTAGGGTTTGGGGTTTGGGGTTTAGGGTTTAGGGCTCCAAAGCTTCAAGCTACCCTGAGCCGTAAGGCCTGCACCCGAAGAAGAAACTCAGGTGCCATGCCTTGGGCAGATTCCCGCATCTCCATGTTAGGCCCCTATTCCCTGAACCCTAAACCCTAAACTATA